CTCGAGAGTGTTGTTCAGCATGGGGGTGAGTAGAAAATGAAGGCTAATCATGTTTTGGGTGTAGTATTCCTTTAAAGGTTTAATGTTTCATTTATGACCTTCTGTCTTAATAGATGGGGATTTTTTCTTGATACACACAAGACAGTTAACATTAAAAATTATTAATAAAATAGCAAACACTTCTCTTTAGGTGATCTCACTCTTTGTGTTTTTTTTTATTTTAGTTTTTTACATCCAGATGCAAGAATAGGAGTCAGAGTATTTAAAAAAAAAAAATCAAAAAATAGCTTTTGATGAGTCCAGCAAAAACCCAGAAGACCAAAGTTAATTCAATTCACTTCGAAAATACTTTATTAATCCAAAAAGGAAACTAGATGTTGAAATAGATCATCAGCCTTTCTAGTGAAATACAATCTTTGTCCTTTTTTTGCTCAAAGGTAAAATTTTCCACCCATTTATTTTTGTTTCTGTTCTTAGTTGCAGAGGGCCCGTTTACAGAAGTGGTGAAACTGCAGACCATGAGGTGTTTGTTTGAAGCCTATGAGCATGTGCTGTCCCTCCTGGAAAATGTTTTCACCCCCATGTTCTGTCACAGCGACGAGGTTAGTAACTGATGTAGCAGACTAAAGAGTTTTCAGTCTTTATAGGAAGAGTTTCGAGTGTCAGACGTTAGAACAAGTTTTTTTACTCACCGGTTTAGCAAATTATCGGACTCAGTTTACTGAGCTGAGAAAGCGCTCTTCCGACTTTCATCCACCAATCCACACCTGCCTTGTCATCAGGAGCAGATGTACATCCAGCCAATGAGTACACTGCAAAAACATTCTGAAAATTAGTAAAAATGTCTTTAAACAAGTGTATTTACCTTACATTTGAGTAGGAAAATAAGATGATCTGCCAATGGAATCAGCATTTTTACCCTTAAAATAAGATCAATTAGATATTATGCACTTGAAGTAAGAGACTATAGTCTTTTTTCTTATTTTAAATGTAAATTGTCTTATTCCATTGGCAAAGAGTCTTACTTACCTGCTCAATTCAAGAAGAAATGCACTTGTTTTAAGAAAAATTTACCTACTTAGATTGACATTTTTTGCAGTGTAGAC